GACTTTTGGGCATTGCCCAGTTCAGTGACACTGCGATTTGACATTGTATGAGCAGCGGCATTGGGATACATTCGAGACTGGGTTCATCGGGCTATGGTGGCTGATCCTCCCTGTCTCCTCCCCTTCGTCTCTTCTTCCCCACCTTCGTCCACGTATGCAGTCAGGCTCAGCGCATCTTCTATGCTTGATCCATTCACAACGTATGATGATGGTTGCAGTCAGGTCCTGCCATTGTCCCTGCTGAGTCAGATCTTGGTATGTCAGTCTTCCGCTGTGCTATTTTTTGTATTGTCTCTGAGAGGTCGGTTCTCGGTTCTGATTGATGCCGATAAGGCATGCGACAGTGCTCGACTAAGAATTGAGAACAGACCTCATTACACCAATGTTGCACAACCATATATCGCTCATGAAGACAATCTCCAATCACACCACACTAATGTTTCACAACCATACATACACTCATGAAGACAATCTTCAATTAACACCAGGTCTTACTCCCTACAGTGTTGTACCATATGCGTCCGTAACTCTAGCTAAACATCGGGCATGACTCATGAATGTGATACGAATTAACAACTACTGTTGTAACAGATGCCATTCATACAACAGTAAGAACAGTCTACATACGAGAGCATACATCGGCAACAAGCATTCGCCACAAAACCACTCCAGAAATATTCAGACAAGTCCGGCAAAGTCTGAAAAACAACTTTGTAAAGTCCAACATGTACAATACTTCATGGAGGAGACTTCCTTCCTCACAGCACCCCGACGGGTTTCGGCTGTCGCCACAGCCTCATCAGGGGGAAACCCCACCAGCCCCTACCATACTCCCCAGCACTCAATCTTGCCTTTCACAAACCAATCATTCCATCCCACCATGCATCCCCCTATGCACGACACTGAACCATGTGCGCACATGTGGTAGTCAGTGCGTTCACCTGTGTGCTGCGTCCCTCAATGACTCCACGTCAGACATCCCTGCGCACTTCCTGGGAGTGCGCTGGCGATCCAAGAGGAAATCACATTGTTTCATTCTCTTTTGCTTTGACATGGTCGTCGGTGCCTCGATAGTAATTCCGTGGTTCATGATCTATTCAGTGGAACCAGTGATACATGTATGCAGGCAGCCTTGCGGTCAACAGTGCCGGGCACCGAATGCCTTGACTGAGAACTGCAGCAAGGCAGGCCAGTTCCAAATGGTATGCAATTCTAGAGTTCTGGACCCGGCCTGCTGTTAGGCCTACTGGAGTGTACCGGACTGAGGTGCAGTCCAGTACTGGGGGGACTCAGTTGTAGTCTGGCCCTGGCCGTTACCCAGGCCACCTTGCCCGGCCCTATCAGGGCATTAGACCCTTGTGCCTTCAGGTTGCCATGGGGTCTCCAGGCTGAGGATTTTCCTCCCAGCACCAAGAAGAAGGGAAATGACAGTAAGGGTGCAGCTAATGTGGATGCAGGAGAGAAATGGGAGTGATGGTATATGCTATATGGAGGGGGAATGAATACCAGGGAAGAGGACACATCAGGCGGGAGGTAATGGGCTGTACAAAGGAAGAAAAGAGGCAAATTTGAAGGGGGAAGTGACCCAGAAGTCCCCAAACGCAACAGTAATAAAGGAAAGAAACCATGGAAAGAAGATAAGGAAGCATAAACAGGGAAGGAGAGGAGGGAATCTAGTAAGGGAGAGAAGCAGATGAGACCCACCGGCAAGTCCCTTTAAGTCTTTTCTTCACTTCAGAATGGATTATCGGGCTTTTAAATTTGTAATGCCTCGCCGAATGCTCTCTTTCTCCTTCTGAGTTCTTTTTGGTATGCGCAGTCAACCATTTTCAGGTTCTCATGCCATGATGATACTCTGTGCAGCAGGGGGAACAAGGGGGGAAAGGGGAAATGAAGAGAGACCGGCAAAACAGATAGAATGATTGACCTTTGATTGGTGAGCGGACAGCCGTGCAGGTGTGTGGATGGATGGATGGATCATCTGGCAGACAAGCAGCCAGACAAACACAGAATGGAGCTTAATTATGGACTCATGCATCTTTGTCTTGGAAATTTGCAGAGAAATACAAGCGCACTGCCGATTGGTGAATTCTTATATGGCATGCGGTATGACTTTGATGAGAGGAAGGGGTTCAAGGCAGAGAGGGCGAGGCTGTTGACCGATTCATTGGCAAACAAACCGTACGCAGGCACAAAGTCACAAGCACTATTGGAAAAGATGAAGGAGAGGCGGTTCCAGCAAATTTTTGAGTATCTGGATAAAGACCAGGTCAGTCTTGACAAGGGCCCATATTTGTGCAGAAACTCGTTTTCCCTGTATGGGCCAGTATGGCATCCATTTCTTGTTGAATTCTGGAGAATGATAGAAACACTCCGGTACTTCTTTTATAGGCTGGTCGCCGGGCCGCCCGGGGCCCTGGATGTCACCCGGGGAGGGGGCCGGGCCGCCTGGCCGGTTGTCCCACCCAGCGGTCCCAGCGCAAAACGCCTGGGGGGTCTCGAGAGGCCGAACCGGTCCAGGCCGGCCCCCCAAGGCCGGTAACACACGCCCGAAAAAATAAATAAAAAATTGTAAGCCATGCCAGGGCCTTTTTTTGGGCGGTCGATTCTAGCTGCCAATCTGCAGAGATCGGTGGCTAGGATCAATCATCAAGACGGGGGTGCCATTTGCGAAGTCTAACCAAGCGCGAATGGCAGCCCCCGCCACCATTCAAACACTCGGACGTTCAAATGCTGGTGGGGGTTCACGCGTGGTTAGACTTCGCGAATGGCAACGTCGTCATCGACGCGCCCTGTAGCTGCGACCCCAGGGAACCCCTATGCGGGCCATAGCCGTGCACATTCCGCCGCCACGTCGCCATCGGCCGCTCGTCCCACCGGTAAGAGTGTGTGTGTGTGTGTGTGTGTGTGTGTGTGTGTGTGTGTGTGTGTGTGTGTGTGTGTGTGTGTGTGTGATGATATTGCGGACGCCTCTGCACAGTAAAAACCATGCACCATACCACCGCAACACTTCAGGAGGAGAATACGCATCTAAGTGGAGTCGAGTCCGAAGGCAAGGAAGTAAGAACAACGAAACACACGGGCCACAGACAACAAGACAACACATGGGCTGGAGGGCACGGGGGAGGAGGGAGGGCAAACAACCCACAAGCAACAGATACAGCAGGCAATAAAAAGGCCAAGGGCTAGAAGGCACGAGGGATATAAGACAGCAGACAACAACAAGCACACAAGGCAGGCAAACCAGAAAAAAGTAAAGTCCATAAAGGTTTCAAAGACCGAAAAAAATAAAAAGTAAAAATAATAACTGATGATGACAAGATTGTTTCGTCGACCGTTGTTGAAGGCAGACTGTCTCCCAGTGGAACACAGCAGCGGGCGGCAACCCTGTGGAGCACCAGGCAGCACAGTAGAGGCAACACGACTGCAAAACACCAAAATCGACTGCAAGACATGGCGCGCAGCGCGGAAACACGGAAGGCACGGCCAGCGAGTGGGCAGCAAGGCAGCGGAGCAGCGAAGCGCAAGGCAACACCGACAACACAGCCACACTACACAG